ATTATGGGGTTAATCCATAGTAGTTGACCAATGAAGTTTGATTAGACCAAATATTTTGGTACCTATTCTCTTAGTAGCGCCATAGCTCTCAATTTTGTGTGGGTGAACTATCGTGACAAGTTGTTACACTTCCAAGTGATATTCATTGCAAATATTTCTCAATGTCCTAAGAGTTGTTTTTGCTTGATTCTCCTAGACCTTGGCTCCCACTTAAACTACTTTTGCACTTGCAAAAATGAATTGGTAAAAATCTTACCTTCTTGTCTCTTATTGGTATTTTTTTTCTCCTCGTTGCTAAGTTATAGCTATTATAGTTTCTTGTTGTCTTCATGTTCTTCATCTCTTCATCTTTTAATTGATCAACATTCCCTTCCACCTCTAGAATATCTCTAATCTCTTGGGCGTATAGATGATCCTTGTGGGTACTCATTGGGAGTGGCAGAGCTAGAAATTTTTCTATTGGCGGCACAAATTTGATTTTAAAAAATTCCTTTAATTTTCTTAATTCATGCTTGAGATTGTAATTTATTTTCATATAAAATAAGAGTTATAAGGGATGAATAAATAAATAAATATAATTAACTATAATTCTTTTTTTAATAAAAAACTAATAATAATATAAAATACAAATGAAAAATAATTATATAATTTTTTCTTTTGTTGATGGGGGCCTGTGCCCCCACAAGCCTCCTAGCTCTGCCATGCTCATTGGATATTGCTTTAGCCTTCTATTATTCTTTTGGGTACTCACATTGCTCCTCCTAGGTACTCATCTTGTCCATCTAGGCTCTGACATGACCTAAGAATTTTGTTGTTTGGTTTAATTGCTAAAATGTTTTTATAAGGTAAACCGTTTGAGTAAGCATCTTCTCTATTCTTATCAATCTTTCATTTTTCACCTTAGATGACCCATTTTATGAAATATTATGATTGAAACAATTGTGCTATGATACATCTTGATTCATAATTAACTCGACATCATAATCTGGTTATATTATGATTTTAAATTGATTTTAGAATGATGCTGTATGATGCTCGAGAATCATTAGGATTTCTACAAATTTTTAAAGAGGCTTGCAAAGATCTAGAGTATTATTTGATCAAATGTAAACATTTTCCTTGAAGATGATTTTCTAGGTTAAAAAAAAAAATTATGATGATTGATCAGGAAAATCCTAAATTGGTCATCCTATAATCAACCCTTCATTTCGCTACTTTTCTTATATGCTTGATTTTTGTTTTTTCTTATATTTAGCTTTAAATAGTGAGCAATTTTACCATCATTTGCAAAATAATGATAAAAAAACCAATTGACACCCTATGTTGTTGTAGCCAATGACTCTAATTGTAGATTTGCCAATATGCTTTTGAAGTCCTTTTTAGGAAAAGGGAGGTTGCCAACAGTTTTGTTACACCTTGGAATCAATAATAGAGAGAGGTAGAGATTGGCCGATGCTATTACTTTTTATTGGATATAAGTGGTTATGATTGTATGAAGTAGAAAGATAATAAAATAGGAGTGGGGCTAATGAAAAATGAATTGAATTATATTCAATTGATTTATGAGCCTAATTACAAGTTATATCTATATCCATATAATTTCCTTATAAAGTAATAAACATTAAAATTCAAATATAGCTAAAAATAATTCCCTTATAAAGTAATAAATATTAAACTTCAAACCTACCTTAAAAATTGGAAAGATAATTTAAACCCTATCTATTTAGGTGAGTTATTCGATAAGCTAAATACTTATTTAAATGCTTATCATATTTATTTAAAAAATAACAAAGAGAATATTCATAGGATTTATTCGCTCATTGGGTTTATGTGGCTAGCACCCTAAATAAAGATAGAGATTTTTGTTTTTATGATCATATAAATAAACTTGAAGTTGGAGAGACTTTAAAGAAAATTAAGCGTGAAAAAGCAGTGACATCTGATAATATTTCAATATAAGTGAGAAAATCTTAACAGATGAAGGAATTTCTCGGCTTTGTAAAAAATTTCATGTTATTTTGAAGACTAAAATGATGGAAGTTGAGTGTAGGAGTGTCTTGATCTCTACTTTTTAAAAATAAAAGTTATGCGAAAGAGTGCGAATTATAGAGGAATTAAATTAACGTGTCATACATTAAAACTATGGGAGAGAATAATTGAGCATAGGTCACGACGTGATACTATTGTTTCTCAAAACCAGTTTGGATTGATGCTGGATAGGTCTACTATGGTAGCTATACATTTGTTTAGAGGTTTGATAGAGAAGTATTTGGAGTCAGGAGGATCTACATATAATATTTATTGATTTAGAGAAAGCAAATGCTAAATTTTTAAGAGAGGTGTTCTGGAGAGTTCTTAAAAGAAAGAAATTTATAATACTTATATTCAAGTCATTAAGGATACATATACATGAGTTGCTACTTTTGTTCAAACATATGGTGGTTTGATCAATTTTTTTTATTTCAATTACATTACATCAAGGATAGCTTTAAGCTCATATCTTTTTATTTTAGCCATGGATGTTCTTATTATAAATTTGCCAGAGGATATACCCTGCTGTATGCTTTTTGATGATGATATTCTTCTTATTGATAAGGCTAGAGAGAGAGAGTTGAAAAAAACCTTGAATTATAAAGATTAATTTTAGAGTAAGGTTTTCATTTGAGTAGATCTAAAACTGAATACATGGAGTGTAATTTTAGTAGTAATAGATCTAGTGGAAGAATTGTTACATTGGGTGATCAAGTCATTAAAAAAACTTGTACATTTTAGATATCTCAGATCTATTGTTGAAAGTGCTGGTGAAATAGATGGGGATATTATTAGTATAATTCAAATTGGATGGTCGGATGGAGGAATTCATTAGGCCTGTTGTGTGATATAAAAATACGTACCCTCAAACTTAAGGGAAATTTTACGAGATGGTAGTGAGACCTGCAATGCTTTATGGTGCAAAATATTGACCATTAAAAGAGAAGTATACAATTAAGTGTTAGAGAAGAGGATGCTTAGGTGAATGAGTGGCTTTATACTTAGAGACATAATGTAAAATGAGTATATACATGAAATGGTTGGAATAGCTCTACTTGGAGATAAGATTAGAGAGAGTTGCTTTAAATGGTTGGTCACATAAAACATTGGCATTTCGATGAACCAGTTAGGTGACTAGATGGAGTAGATCCGGCTTATGTTAAGAAAGATAAAGTTAGATTTAGAAAGACTTGGTTAGAAAGTATTAGAAATGAACTTTTCTATTAGATTTATATGAGAATTTAACTCAAATAGGACATAATGAAGAAAAAAGATTTCACATAGCCAAACCATATTGTGGGATAAGGTTTGGATGTTGTTGTTGGGTTTAGAGAGAGAGAGAGAGAGAGAGAGAGAGAGAGAGAGAGAGAGAGAGAATTTTCAATTTTTTCATTTACTTTTTGTTGAATCCTTCTTATTTGGCTTGATTTATCGTGTTGATTTCTCATTATCTAAAAACTCCCTAAATGGTGGCCATAAGTTCTATTTTTATAGCTCGAATTATGGATCTAATTTTTTACTTCAAAAATTAAAAATAAACTCATATCTTGACTTGTGATTTTGGATAGAAATTACATCTAAAGTTTTTAATTTGGATTCATTTAATATGAACTAATATCCCACCTTGAGACATAGGTTTCCATACGTATTTTAATATAGAACATTATTTAAAATTGCACAATATGAGGCCCGCTTCAGCACAATTTCAGTGTAAAACATCTCGAGGCTTATGCCTCGAGCTTTTTTTATGAGGCTTGATCTTAGTTTGACTGAGGCCTTCCTTGAGGTGCGCCTTGCCTCATTGGCTTGAGGCTTACATCTCATTATATATATCTTGTGCTATTTTTTTTTTTCATATGTATGCCAATTTGTTACTTCATAGTTCAATAGAAAGTTAACATGCCATTTATTAACATATTATTTGAGTATTATATGAAAAATTATTTTTAACTTTTATTATCATTTTACGTTATCTTTGAATTTTAAGGCTTATGCCTCAAAAAGTCTTAAGGCTTAATTCTCATCTTACGAATGAAGAATGACTCAATATTCAATTGCGCAATTTTAAACCTCAGTATAGAGTCTACTGGTCTTGATTTGACATGGTTAATCTTCAGAGCTTTTCGCAACCCTCCTTTTAAGTTCACTTGCTGTTGCAAATGTCCATTAATTAGCAAACTTTTAATATTTGTTGTTGGACCTCATAGAATACAGTCAACCCAAAGGACGTTGGAGCCGACCAATGAAATGTTATCAAACTATTTGAAATATCCAACCCAAGTTTTAGTAATCATCTTTGTTATTGTAGATGATATATTGGTAGTGGTAGTCACTTCTAATTATGAAATTGGCTCTTGTTTCTCGACCAGCCACCTCATGGTGGGATATACTAAATTTTATTGGTAAGGGGACTGTTCTCTATATCTCTGGTGGAATTATGCTTCCCTTGATCCTTTTGGCAACTCCATCTGGTTGCCAATCTCAGTCCTAGGCTTTCATACCTTGTATGTTTGGAGAATAATATATTTTCTTGATACTTGATCAAAGACGGAGATATAATATTTATAGAATACTTGGTATACTATAACATTTAAGTCTATGATAACTTTCCAATAACAAATTTAAATATCAAATAATAGGATCTTCCAATTAATTGGACGGTCATTTTTTCGGAGAAATTGTCCCACATGAAATCGCTTCTTTCTTTTCCTCTTGATCGAGTTGACGACTCCTTGGATGTAGTGAATAGTTTCCTAATTTTTCACTAGCAATATTGCACTTAGCTATTGGATTTTTTTTTCGCTGACCTTCTGCTTTAGCATGTTGATTAATAATAAAATTTATTGAGTTTTTTTTTATTTGATTGAAAGTTGGGGAAATCTCCTTTGCATTATAAGATTATTGGCTAAAATATGTTGGGGTTGCATTTTTTTTTAATGATAATATACTGAACTATCCTTTTTCATCAGACCCTTACAAAGTTGCGCTTTTCAAGAAATGGACTGACAGATGCAGAAAAGGATGCTTTTAAGGTAAAATTGAGGTCATGGTTCATTGTTTTTTTTTAAGATTCGGAATAACATTTATTGATATCGTTCCTTGCAGAGGCTTTTGGAAGAAGATAATTTTTATACAATAAGAGTGCCTTCTAACGTGCTGAATCCTCCTGGAAAAGGCTATATTTTGTCATCTGTGCCAGCTGTAAGTTCATTAATCTTTTGTTTTATATCATTAATATGTATGTTCAAAACAACCATAAGGATTTGTCATACAAATTCTGATCAAACATCTTTTTCGTGAAAATAATTGCTCTAAAATTCTTATCTATGGGCTATGGATGCCTTTTTAATCATAGGCAGTAATATGGTCACAATTTTGGTGATGCATAAACTCTTGGAGTTATCTGTTTGATTTAATAAGGTGAAAGAGGATAATTATCATATGTAAGATTATTTTGAGATAATCTCGATTCAACTAGCTTGTTTTGTGCTGGAAATGATGTTTTTGAGGAGATTCCACAGCCTTAGAAACTGAAGGAGTTATATAAGTTTTTCTGTAAATTTTAATATTAAGAACTTTATGTTAGACAGGAACATGACGTTTCGAATGACACGGGGGACTTCAGATTGTTGGTTTCCCTTTTAATTGCCTTTTATTGGGATGTCGGAGGAACCCAAGGCTCTTCTTTATTTGCTTATTCAAATAGCTGCATCAGTTACAACAACAACAACAACAACAACATCAAGCCTTTGCCTCACTATGTGGGGTCGGCTACATAAATTCTTTTTCAAAATTGTGTCCGGTTAAAAGTCAAATTATCATTTAAATCTAATAAAGAAAGATCATTTCTAATATTTTCTAACCAAGTCTTTTTAGGTCTACCTCTACCTTTCTTAACATAAGTCAAATCTAATACCTCAACTTTCCTAACCGGGTCATCGGAAGGATTCAAGTAGTAGCATGTCATTTAAATACTTCTAATAGGACACAATGAAGAAAAATAATTCATTTAGCCGACCCAATGTAGTGGGATAAATGTTTGATGTTCTTGCTGTTGCATGTTATGTATATATACATGGATATCGTTTTTAATGCATGTAGCATGCTATTTAAATAAAGAATAATTTGTCTGTATATTTTATTTAAGCAGAAGTGGCCTTACTAAGCATGAAAATCATTGTATATTTTACTTAAGCAGAAGTGGCTTTACTAATTATGAAATCAACTTATTCTTTATTTGATTAAAATGGTTTTCATATTCTCCATATGGAGTTTATAACTAGGTGCTCAGGCTCGCGGTAGTTGATCGTCAACATAAGAGACCTGCACAAAACATTTTCTACTAAAAAAAATTTGATTAGTCATGTTGATTTTAAGTCAGTAACTTTTGATATTTCTTTGTTTAATTTTTCTTGTTGATATGATTTATATAGAGGGAAAGTGCTGATTGCTGGAAATGTATCGATTCCATCCTTATTGGTCATCATGACTGGATCATTCAACATTTTAATGACTTTTTTTTTTAACCAGAGGTGTATTCCTAGGGAAAGCTTGGATGAACACTTCGTGATCCATACGGTACTTCCTGAAACTTATCCAGATAACTGCTTTGTTCCCCAAGTTTTCTTTCGGCAGCTAGAGCCTGTTTATTCCTAAGCTAAATAATAAGGCATAAACAATTTTACTTTTTCTGTTTCGGTTTCGGTTTTCAACAGTTTCCTGTACTTTTATTTGTTTTCAATATATTTGGAAAGGTATCTGTTGGTTAAGGGAGGTTATTGTAATGCTCCAATACTAAGTTTAGAAAAAAATGCTTGATTGTTTTGCAATGTTTATCTTTTGAGTATGCCTACTCTTGGAGATCCAAAGCCAAACAAATTCAATAAGTTCTCTATGCTTTGTTGCTTAGCAGATATTCAAGCATATGCATTTATTGGCTGTTCCTTTTATGTAAGTCCGCTACTTATTGTCCTATAAGCCATGTAATGGTTTTTAATGTTGGCCATTAATGCCTGCTTAGATTGTTTTCTGATTAGTTGTTTTCCTATTATGCATTTAGGGTTTATATTGGACATTTAAGTTTGTGGTTTGCTGGAATGAATGGGAAAAATTGAAGTTCTTCTAGAGATGAGTAGGCTTTGTGACTAACACAAGGAGAGGCCTGGTGGCCAACACAAATAAGATGAGATTTGGTGTGGTGTTCTTCAACATACTTCTTTGATGAGTGGCATTTTATACTTTTATTTACTCTGTATTTTTTGTTGTGAAAATCTTGATCTACCATCCCTTCATAAAATTTTATAATTTTTCCAACGAAAACTCTCAACCTAAATCCACCTTGTAGTGGTCGACCAATCCTGATCAAATAGGATATAGTTTGATTCCACAGGCCTTTAGTCCATCAAAACCCCTCGAAAAATTAAGAATAATTTTAGATCTAATCTAGATACTTCTCTTTACCAATTATTGAGTTTTTTAAATCTTTCCATAACCTTTCATCTGTTGAGACCAATTGTTTGAGTGACCCACCTTTGGCACTCTAACATACACACCGGGTTAGCCTTAAGTCATCTTTGTTTGTGTGCATGCTATGATATCTCTTTCCAACCTAGTGCATCCTACGAAAATCATAGTTAGCCAGGGGAGTCTTAAGTTTAATCTTTGTGCGCTCTACTTGCTTTGATATTCATAGTCTTCACTAGTTTTGGTATATTGTGCATTGTCATTAACCATCATTTTAATTTTTATGAGTTTCACAATGGTCGTCATCATAAAGGATTTGAGTAATTTAATTTACCTCTATATCTGTGTCAATTATCACAATTAATCACATTACTGACTCTCCCCAAAGGATTATAGTTTGCCCAAATGATTGACACTACTTCAACATAACTTAATTTTTATTGAAATTGCATGATTTTGGTCTAATTAGAAAGATAATAAATTCTCTACAATTTTATGTTTTTTATTTTGGTTAACATTGAGAAGATAAAAATTATAATTTTTACAAAAAATCAAGAAACAAAAATCAGAGGTGGAAAAATTGCCCTTTATGTCGTTTTTTTGGGGAGAATCAGTTATTTCTTGCTAGAATTGCATTATTTTTGTGTCTTTGAAAATCTAGCAAAATTCTTTACAACTTTTTTCTATTTCGACCAATTTTGGCATGATATATTGCAGTGTCATGTGAATCGAGAAACAAACATTTAAATTTAGAAATTCCAAATATATTTCACTTAAATCCAGAAACTCTTTTGGTCATAACTTTCTCTTCTTTTATTGGAATTGCATGATTTTGGTGTCCGCTTCAGCTGATTTTGACATAAGAAGTTGCAGTTTTTGTAGGAATCGAGATACAAAATTCAATTTTAGAAATTCCAAATATATTTCACCATTTTAAGCATAACGTTCCGTTACTTGTTAGAATCATATGATTTTGGCGCGTTGAAAAGCTCAAAATTATCTACAATTTTTATGTTTTCTCATTTGGTGGATTCTGACACGGAAAATTACTGTTTTATGTAAACCGATGATGGACTAAAAATGAACATAAAATGATCATTCAAGTCAACATAATCAATTTAAATAAAAGTTTTTTTATCTAATTAAAAAATAAAACTGATCCATCATAATTTCAAGGATTTAATCATGCCACATAGACCTAGTGGAGCCCACAGTAAAAAAAAATTAAGGCTTAGTCAAACCCTCTTCATTTAATGGTCAAGACAGGCTTAAATTTTCTCCTATGTTGAAATCATTTGTAAGATAAGATATTGAATGGATCATCGCTCCATAATAGCTAGCCACTGCCACACACTCTAAGGCTTGTCATTACCTTTCTTAGCTTGTAAACCGAGAGAAGCATGGGGGAGAGAATGTGAGCATACACTTTCATCCTTGTATTTAATTACTTAAATCATTTATCCTTGGCCTTCTACAGACCTTAAGAGAAGAAAAAATAAACAAGGAGAAGGTTTGTCCGAACTTATATATATGCTTCAACCACTCATAAGTAATTTTGCCTCTCTTAATTGGCCTTCTTTTAATCCCTTAAGCTTCCCTCAATGAGTTTAGGGTCGTTTAAAACTTTTTGAGTGACCTTCCTGTGCTTGTCGACGTGCAAGAAAACTAATAATGTAGAGCTTCTTTTCCAGAAAAATAATTGCATTTTGGACGTTGACCTCACTAGACTATGGTTGTGTGCCTGTGCGGCCTCTCAAATGCCCTTCCATTCTAATTCACCATCCTCCCTTTACATCGATAGCTTTTTCATATAAAAAAAAAAAAATTGGAAAGGGCAACTTCTTATTTGGCCATTGGCATCGATGCCATCTCCAGCGCCGGCAAGCTCCCTGAGCAGCAACTAAACTTCCTGCTGAATGTACCAAACCAAGTGCCACCCCTCATGCATGCTAAAATGGCGAAGAGCAGTTGTGCATGGCCTTATTTTAGCTATAAGTGGCATGAGGTAGGAGACGTAGCAGTGACCATTGCATTCCAAATTGAAAATGCGATACTGTCTGCCAAATTTTCACAAGGATAACATGCAACAAGCGTGGGCCCCTCCTCAATCAGCCAACAAGATTTTAAAGAAGGGCTTAAAACAATTTAGAAAATAAGTAAAAATTAGAATTTTATTTTATTATTTTCCTAAAATTAACTTTATTTTCTAAAAATGTTAATGCATATGTTTTATTAAATATATTTTTTTTTTTTACATTTTTTTTGCAAGATTTCGTAATGCTAGAATTAACACTAAAAAATTATAAGAAAATTTGTGCAAAGTCTATATAAATATTTGATTTATCAAAATAGGTATAACTATTTTACATTGGAATTTAAATTATTTTTTTAGTATTACTAAATGATAAGAATGATTTTAATTCAAACTGGTATAAAAGAATCATGACATTCATTGTTCTCCATACATTCAGTTATGTTATATATATATATATATATATAATTTTTAAAAAAAAAAAAAAAAAAGATATTTCCCATCATCATGCATTTGTATGCATTTGTGTACTTGTATTGTATATCTATCAAAATGTATGTCATATCATGCGTGCTAAAAAAAAAAAAAAAGAAGAGCTCTTGTTTGTTAATTCTATTCCCTTAAACTTAATTATGCTTGGTTGCATATCTTTTGTTGATTGTGGTTGGGACCTGCTTATGCATTTCACGATCATTGACTGTGCACTTATATACACCTAGCCATGCTATGTGCTTGCTTTATTCAAATTGCATTCACAAACTAGACTTATCTAGTTTCTAGCATGATGCAATATTTGTAAAAAAACATGTTTGCCTATCTGGCCATGATATGATGTTTTTTTTTTCTTCTCAGACCTAAAAAGACTCGGTTAAAAAATATTAGAAATGATCTTTCTTTATTAGATTTATATGAGAATTTAACTTTTAATAGGACACAATGGAGAAAAATGATTCATGTAGCTGACCCCACGTAGGGGGACAAAGGCTTGATGTTGTTGTTGTTGTATTAACATATGTTTTGCAAGATATCTTATGGTAGCCAACCTTAGGAGGATATGTGATTAATGATTTATATTCTCTTATCTTTTCATCTTTTATTGCTTTACAATAATTTTATATTGATTGTTTTGTGAGACTCTATGATTGATTATACCTGGGTTATAATTCGAATCCTAGCTTAGCTTCTAGCCTTGCTGATGCATATCATATCATGACCTTTTGAGTTTGATGTAGTTTCAGACTCACTTTAGGATAGGTGATTTAGACACATACACTTTACGAACGTACCTTGTCTTCATTTAGCCAACTTCAAGATATGTCTATCTCTTCTCCATTTGAGTTTGACTAATCTCTCACTTACACATGTGACTAGTGGATTATTCGCATTTCTGACCAGACAAGATGTAGTCCAACATTGTGGCCTTAATGATCATTGGTGTGATCATATTGTAAGTCTCAGCCCTGGTTTTCTTCTATGGTCTAGAAGACTCCCAATCCTTTGGATTTAGAGTTTCCATTAGGCTTCTTGCTTCCTTTATTTGTGGAGTACAAATCTCATATGTCAGCCTAGGGTTACGTCTCCTTTACACCTCTATTTCTACAAGTTCCTTTGGATGATACAACCTATGGATGTTGATAAGGATCTTCACGGTTAGAGAAGTTTGATCATCTTTTTTGACTATGCATACTAGGAGCTATAATGACTCGTGATGATAAACAACCATGAGATTTTTCACAGGGCCATCCCTCATATCCCTTAGGTTAGTTTAGTCCTTTTGCTTAAGTTAGTCAGCCCATTTCATATAATAGATTATATTTCTTTAAGTTAGATCTCTTCTCTAGGATAGTAATCTATTCTATAAAATTAGGGTCTCCTTTCCTATGATAGTTTTTCTCTTCCTTTAGGATAATCTACACTTTTCATTGGTCATCATCCCTTGGGGTCATTTGTTATTTTGGGTGCTTTCTTTTGTATCCAATGACTTATAGAACTTATATTTCTAGATAGCATCCCTAGGCTATAGTTTTGGGTTTATTTGACGATCAAGACTTCTATGATATTTTAAATATAAGTTCCATAATCT